ATTCAGATGCTTGGCAACTGACTCATATTTATGATGGCTACAGTGTCCCCGGGTCATGTGATCACATTTTGAGGCCTTCTGACAAGCAAAGTCATTGGGGAAGCCAGATTCACTTAACATCTGTATTACTAACTTAACAACTGCAATTATTTACTTAAAGTGTGGTAAGAAAGGTCCTGTACATGGCTTATATATCTAACATAAAAAAGAGGTACATTTTACCTGTACAAGAAAAATGATAAGAAAGTAGAAGTTTGCTATTCTTCGGAACTGCTCAAATAAGTTCTTCGGTATGAAGTTCCAAAAGGTGTACTGAAAAAGATGGGAAGTTAATGAAGGCTAAATCTTTATTTACAAAGGAATTAGACATGATTTCTTTCTTTCTATGTCAATAGCACAATATATTGTTCACTGCTGGGAATAAACTACATACCTGCAAAAACATTCTATGATCATACAAAGATTATATATTATATATCTACGTATGTCACATATTAAATAAAGTGGATTGTATTACTAATTAGCCTAAAATACCATTCTTCGGCATTTCAGAGGAGATGAAGTGCACTTTGCTACACTTGGCTGTGACAATCATTTAACAAACCTCTAAGGAATGTTGATAAATTGGGTAGTAATTTGTGAAATACCTCTTGTGAAAGTTTGGTATTTTACCCAGAGAACATAGACTTGACTTTAAAGTGATTAAGGAGACCTCATACCAAATTAATTCCCTAAGGCAGTGTGTCAAGGTGACATGCCGCTGTTCACCAACACCCAACAGCTTGAAAGCACACACTGTTTTTATGCAGTTTTTGGAGGCTATGGAAGTTGCATGACAATTGGGTGTGCTCTTGACCGGCCTCAGAAGCCTCGGTTTTCAGAGGCTGCAGAGGCCACGGGACAGCATTCTCTGAAGTTGCTTCAAGAACAAAGGCCTCAAAAATTGATGTATTTATATATTATAGGTAAATAATGGCATTGTATTGAAAAGAGGAGATGCTCGGCTGGTACCCCAAACTGCACTCGATGAGGTGGTTAAGAAGGGAGATGGGATGTAGGGAGGTGGAAAGGAGGAAGGAGGAGAGGTTGTGGGTCTAGGGGGAGGAAGGAAGAGGAAAGTGAATGAGGGTGGAGGCAAGGCGGGGACTGCCGAGCGTGTCCGAAAATGTATTGAGTAGGATTATCTTTTTTGCTTGTGTAAATAAATGCATCATATTGGTATTTGCTGTTCAATTACAAAAATTAATAAAAAATTTATAATAAAAGAACAAAGGCCTCATGCAACCTCAAGAGCAGCCTCAGCTAGGTTACAGGGACATGTCAACATAAAGAGAACACCACCTGAAGGTAAGCAGTGTGTGTCAGATCATGGGGAATGCTAGATTGGTGGGCAGTTGCAGCATTAATAAGACTTGTGCTCAAGGCAGCCTTTTTGAGTGGCAGCAGCTAAAAGTTGAGGTGAGAGCCTCAATTTCAGAACCAGCCTCAGCACTGCCATTGAGTTTTTGAGATGGCCTAAAAAGGATCAGAACAGAAGAGAATAGAAAAACAGTTGGAAGGGACTTTGGAGGTCTTCTAGTCTAACCCACTGCTCAGGCAGGAAACCCTATATCATTTCAGACAAATGGTTGTCCAATCTCTTCTTAAAAACTTCCAGTGTTGGAGCATTCACAACTTCTGGAGGCAGGTTGTTCCACTGATTAATTGTTCTAACAGTCAGAAAATTTCTCCTTAGTTCTAGGTTGCTTCTCTCCTTGATTAGTTTCCATCCATTGCTTCTTGTCCTTTGGAAAATAGCTTGACTCCCTCTTCTTTGTGGCAACCCCTGAGATATTGGAACACTGTTATCATGTCACTCCCTAGTCCTTCTTTTCATTTAAACTAGATAATCCAATCCAGAAACCCTTCTTTGTATGTTTTAGCCTCCAGTCCCCTAATCATCTTTGTTGCTCTTTTCTGCACTCTTTCTAGAGTCTCAACATCTTTTTTACTGCGACCAAAACTGGATGCAGTATTCCAAGTGTGATCTTATCAAGGCATTATAAAGTAGTATTAACACTTCACTTGATCTTGATTCTATCCCTGTTAATGCAGCCTAGCACTGTGTTGGCTTTGTGGGCAGCTGCAGCACACTGCTGGCTCATATTTACAGTAAGTGACTGTCCATTAGGACAGGGCTTTTCAACCAGTGGTATGGATACCACCTGTGGTACATTGGCACCTGGCAGGTGGTACGCGACCATCCTAGAAAAGTGGTAGCGGGGGAGGGGAATGAGCTGAACCGGTGGCAGCACCGCACAAGCCTGAACGAGAGATGGCTGGAGCTGCAGGGCTGTCAGGGCTCAGTGGAAGTGCCAGCATCAGCACCAGGCTCCAGTTGGAGCTCGGCGCTGATCCTAGCACTTCTGCTGAGCCCAGAAGAAGCGCCGATCAGCTGGAATGTTGCAGCATCTCCAGGGTCTTGTGATTTACATTCAGATGCTTGGCAACTGATTCATATTTATGACGGTCACATTGTCCCAGAGTCAAGTGAAGTGACCAAAACCTGCTGCAACCACCCAGCAGACGGGGAATAAAAACCAAACACCTCCCACCCCACCCCCGCTGCCAATCTTCAACAGAAATGCTCACAACAATGAAAATCTCGGACAGGAGAAAGAGTGTGGCCAGGCGGGCAGGCGTCTTGCTCAGCTTGGGGGGCACTTTTTTCAGTGCCATTGTAACTTCGAACAGTCACTAAGCGAACTGTTGTAAGTCGAGGACTACCTGTACTTCATCACTTTTTCCCTTTTTTTTTTTTTTTGGTCATCAAGTTTTTGACACCTTGCTAGGCGACTGGTGGTACTCGGATATTGCCATATCCTAAAAGTGGTACAATGGGTGAAAAGGTTGAAAAGCCCTGCACTAGGACTCCAAGATCCCTCTCACAGTTACTACTATTAAGCCAGATACCACCTATACTATACCTGTGCATTTGGTTTTTCTTGCCTAAATATAGAACCTTACTTTTTGCGCCATTGAATTTCATTTTGTTAAATAGTGTCCAATGTTCAAATCTGTCAAGATCCTTCTGTATCTTAAGCCTATCTTCTGGAGTGTTGGCTATTCCTGCCAGCTTGGTGTTGTCTGCAGATCTGATGAATTCCCATCTATCCCCTCATCCAAAACATTAATTTTTGTTAGTTTTAATCTTTCTTTTAAACATTTAATAAAGTTATATGACATTACCCAATGTATTGACGCTACCAGATGTGGGCTGTAATTTCATAATCACTGGATAACAAGAAAGACATTAAGAAAACTGTATGTTTCTGCTGGCATCCAGTAGTCCAATTGATTTCTGCAGCCCAGATTTGGTGGAGCCAATCATGTATCTATTGTGGGAAAAATCCATTGATAGTATACTGTAACTGTAAATCAGCACATAAAGTAATTGAATGTGGTATTTTATGCTTGCACAAACCAGCAGAAATTTTGACTATTGGCAAATTTTAATAGTAAACAGCAAATTTTTATTTCAGTGTCAGACTTCTGCAACGAAACAAGAGATTTTATTGCAAAAAATGAAACTGTTGATAAAAAGGGGAGTGTTTACATTGAAGCCAAAAGTATAAGGCAAATTAAATAACCATGATACTGTATGAGGCATTGAAAAGAATAAAGATATGAGGGAATACCTTTGATGAGACTATTCTGTTATCTGGATATCGCTGCAGAATGTATGCTTCAGCACCTAGAGGGGGTTCACGATGCCCAACATAAATTGTCCGATTGTCTACCCAGTTCTCTTCCCCAGCACACTGTGAAGAAAAATAATAATTAAGCCAGTAGTTCTACATCATTCTACATCAGAGGCTGGTGGGGTTTTTTTAGAGAAAACAATTTCCCTGATTTGAGGTTATCTTTTTTTTCTGTTTGCGTTATTATAGTACTGTTGTGTTCGTATTTTTGTATGAGGCACATTTTATACCATTTTTTTAATGTAAGCCTCCAAGAGTCCTTTTTATTGTGACAGTATAGAAATATATTAAATAAACAAATAATAAATAACTGACCTGATGAGACATGCATCAATTCACCCTTCATATATGATTAAAGTTCCATCTCCTAAATCTCTAATAAATAATATCCATAATATGAAATATGATATATATACATATATAGTATTTATGGCTTAACTGTACACTATCCAGAGATGTGTGGTTTCTGCATTTGATATAGAAATAAATAAATAAAACATAGTTTCCTGAATAGTTATAGGTAAGCTGTCAGAATCCTATACTTGAAACAATACTTACTTTTGTATTATTCATAAATATTATATATTAGGAAAATAACTCCTATTTTAGAATATACAGTATGTTCTTAAAATATATAGGCTGTAGTCCATTTTAAATGTCCAACGAGGTTCAAGTATACACTACTAGTGCTTGACTTTGCTTCTCTTGCTGACAAACTAGAGTTAAGCCAGTGCTAATGTTTCCTCACATTTTGAATATGTTTGTATATTAAATAGTTCCAGTCTTTGTTTCTAAAATTTTGCTTAAGGTACTTCCGTGCAGAAGTTTCAGAGCAGATTTTCTAGGGCAATTCAACCAAAAAATAATTAAACCATTGATTTTATGATTTCAGAAATTTCTGTCTAGGGGATTCTTCAAATTAATCAACTTGGATTTTAACTTTCAGTCTAGCTATATAGTGGGTGCCATAAAATTAGTAACATATTTGAAACTATACTATAAAGAATCCTCTACAAATTTGCCTTGAATTGAATTTAAATGAATGACAAAGACAAAGCAAAGGAATTTGCAGATCACATCCATTATTTTTAGAATAAATGACAATTGGCTGAGTTCATTCATGTCAATCCAGCGGCCCCCAACCTTTTGGACACCAGGGACTGGTTCCATGAAGAGAGATTTTTCCATAGACCGGAGAGGGCATGGTTTTGTGGATAGGGCTTCACTTGCTTGCGCGGCCTGGTTTCTGGCATGCCACAGACTGCGGGTGGGTACCCCTGTGTTAATCCATTAAACATGATGCTTCTATTTGCAGAATATGCAAATATGCTTCTAT